TGTTATTCCAGGGAGTATGAGAGTAAATAATGTATACATAGATATTAGTTATAAAATAAATTCATTTGTATATTCCTAAAACATGTTTTTTCCAGGCTTTTTTGTCATTTATTTTGTCATTTGTTAGACCGTTTTCTACATTTGTTAATGATAATAAAATGTCATGTATTACAACGAAACGACTGATATAACCTTGTAAGCATGTAAGGGTACAGCCTTTGCTGCTGATATGATTTTTGTTGGGTATAGGTTATTCCACAGCTGTGTGTTTAAAAAACTTTCGACAAGCAGTAATTATGGTGTTACATTTGTGTGGAGGATTAAAATGGCGATTCACAACCCATCAATAAGTGTGAGATGAAAAAAGCTGCAACCAACTTCAGACTTACTGTCATTTCTAAGCCACTCGTCCGACATCTGTTAAAATTATTCCAGTGACAGCTCATTATATTGTTTACAAGCTTACCGAAAGCATTTTGGTGAGAATTTTCCAGAAAAATTGTTATACGTGATGGAATTCAATCTTGATAGTGTGATTTCTTTATATTTGGCTGGAGAACCACAAGTAGCTATCCTTAGAGCACTCCAACATTTAAATGTGAATAAATCTTTTGTGTCTCGTACCATCGCTCGTTACCGTGATACTGGTAGCGTAGCCCGACGTCAAGGAAGTGGACGGAGACGGAAGAAAACAGCAACATCAGCAGAAATGGTTCGAAAAATAAAGAAGCGACTTGATCGAAACCCGCGTCGCAGTGGCCGAAAAATGGCTCGAGAGCTGAACATGTCGCAATATTCCATTCGGCAAATATGGAAAAATAAGCTCGGGGTAAAGCCATTGAACTTCCAAAGCGCGCAAGAACTTACACCGTAACATAAAGAAAGTAGACTCAAAAGAGCTAAAGATTTGCTATGCTTGACCGAAAGTGGTGAACTGCCGAATTTGTTGTTCTCCGCTCCGATGAGAAAACATTCGTTGTCTAGCAGTTTGTAAATAAACAAAATGATCGTGTTTACTTGCCAAAGAGGTCTGGTGAAAATGAGCACCTTCTGTTGGCCACCAGAACTCAAGCGCCGGCCATGGTGTTGGTGTGGCCGCCATAACCGGCGACGGTCACTCTCCGCTTGTATTAATCGACCGTGGCATCAGAATAAATGCCGAATATTAACGCGAAAATATTCTGAAGGGTGTATTAAAGCCTTGGGCATGCAAACATTTTGGCCGCAGAATTTGGACATTCCAAGAGGACTCAGCGCCATCGTACTCAGCACGCGCCACCCAAGAGTGGTTGCAAAATGAGGTTCCTCGCTTCATTTCCAGCGCTCAATGGCCACCAAAATCTCCGGATACCAATCCGTTGGACTAGTGTGTCCGGAGTATTTTGAAAAGCAAGGTAGGTACTAAAAATACCAAAGTTTAGCAAGCGCTTCGCCGGGAATGGGCCAAAATACCACAGAGCAACATTCGGGCAGCGTGTGACGGTTTCATTGGCCGTTTGAATTCGTGCCAGTAAGATATGAATTCGTGAATAATTCGTACCCAAGGTGACCTATTCGAACAAAACTAAACTTATTCTAAAATTTGATGTTATTTCCGATATTTTTTGCTTTCATTCAATAAAATTAATAAAAGTTTAAAAATTCTTAAATCTCACTCTCTATATACAGGGTTGCCCATATTCGACGGACCTTTGGGCCTTTTGGGCCCATTCCAATAGACGAGGCTTGTCCGCAGGCAACATTCGTTGCGTCAATTGAACTTTGTACGGGAACAAATGCAAATCAATGCGAATAATCCGTTGTAAAGTGGACCGAGCCACGCCCAACTGCTGAGAACGGCGTTTTTGGGATGTTCTTGGGGACCTCTAAACACTGGCTCGTACGGCAGCGATATTCTCGGCCGATCGCCTTGGTCGACTTTTATATGGCCTCTTCGGATTAGAAAGAGCCTTACCAGTCGAAAAATTTTCGTATAAACGCTTAATGGTGTTCTTAGAAGGCGCACTTCATTTTTTTAATGTTTTAAAAGCACGTTGAGTTTTCACAATTGACTTCTTCTGTTGAATGTAAATTTCAACTATTTCAGAGCACTCTCGTGGCGTGTATTGGTTCATTTTAAAAATCTGCTTGGACTGACGCTTCAAACGCGGTATGTCATTAAGCGATGTGACATCTCTGTCAAAAGTTATGGCGTTGCCAGATGGGTCCGTCGAATATGGGCAACCCGTACATATCCCTGTTATTCAGTCCTTTATAGAGTGTCCCATATACACATTTCCCTCCCCACACACACAATCTTTTTTCGTATGCTGATATCGTCTTGTTGCTTCTATATACAATTTATGAGACATTCTTGTTTTTTTTTTTGTTTCTGCCTTCATTCTATGACTTTGTATTGCAAATGCTATTACCCTCTGTTACATTTGAGCTTTAAATGATACATATCGAGATAAAGTATCTCATATAAAAGCTTTACGCCAATGGAACATCATATCAAATGAAAACAAATACCCAACCCGGAGACGAAGTAGAGGCATAACATTCCCCAGTTCATGTGAGCTTGGCAAAAACACAGCAACACATTCAAAGTCATTTTAATACGCAGTAAAACGTTTAAATGGGCCTTAATGTTATTTATCTTAACGAATAAATCCTACGAATTGACACTTGCCGTCTATGGATGTATGTATGTGTAGGCACACATGTCGATGTAGTAGTCGTAGTGTATGTATGCACAACACAAATGGCACACATAAAACCATTAACGGAAACAAAAGCATCCGGAAAATACATTCAAATGTACATGAATATACTCGGCGAAGTGTTAGAATGTGGAAACACACCAGGGCTAAGAAAGTGTGAAATAAAAATTGATGATTTCGAGAGAGGCTCAATTTAAATAAGAAATTGAAAATAAACAAAATCACAAATGCAGCAGCCGGCACACAGTGGGAAATGTAATGCCTTTATAGTGGGATGATGATGATGACGATGATGGTGATAATCTATTCTCGGGGATGATGATGCTAATGGCGTTATTGTCGTTGTTTATGTATGAGTAAGATTTTCCCTTTGTAATATTGTGTTCTGCTCTTTAGGTTCCGGAAAAGGGAGTTTGTTAGTTGATTCCGAGCCGATAGTTTGTTAGTAAGTTATCCTTATGAAATCAAAAAGGATTACAGCTAACTTCTAAAGGAGTAATTTTAAGGCATACTGTACCAATGATTTATTTACGTTTTATTCTTTTTACTCCACAGTTGTAAATTAAGAACTGACGTAACATACCTACTAACTGATAAATCCAGGACTTCCGATAATATGATACAACAAGATACAAAGTATCGGTCAATTTGAAAAAAACAATAACTTAAAAACCCAAAATCAATAATTATTTTTAAAAATCTATGAATTTGATGTCAGAATATTTTGATCAAACTATGATATTCGATTTTTAAATCTACGGGAGTGGTTATAAGACCATAAGCTAGTTATTAATTTATCCGTGCCTTGGACTTCAGGATGGGTAAACCTTCATATCACAATATTCATCTCGCGTACTTTCTGCATATATAGGGTGGGATAATTTTTAGATAAAATTATTACATTTTTTTTTTAAATTTTTTTGAATGAGAGCTAAAACTGTCGGAAACAGCATCAAATTTTAGAATAAGTTTAGATTAGTTCGAATTGGTCACCTTTGGCACGAATTATGGCCTTCAAACGGACAATGAAACCATTACACGCTGCCCGAATGTTGCTCTGAGGTATTTTGGCCCATTCCAGGCGAAGCGCTTGCTTGAGGTGATCGAAACTTTGGTATTTTTTAGTTCCAACCTTGCCTTCCAAAATACTCCAGACACAATAGTCCAACGGATTGGTATACGGTTATTTTGTGCCCTGTAAATGAAGCGAGGAACCTCATTCTGTAACCATTCATGAGTGGCGATGGTGCTGAGTCCCGTTGGAAAGTCCAAGGTCTGCGGCAAAAATGTTTGGTGCACAAGGCTTTAATACACCCTCAAGAATATTTTCCCGATAATATTCGGCATTTATTCTGATGCCACGGTCGATTAATACGAGCAGAGAGCGACCATCGGCTGTTATGGCGAACCACACCATCGCCATGACCGACGCTTGGGTTCTTGCGGCCAACCGAATGTGCACATTTTCAGCTGACCTCTTTGGAAACTGCTGCTGGATAACGAATGTTTCCTCATCGGAGAAAACCAAATTCGGCGGTTCACCACTTTCGGTCAAGCGAAGAAACTCATTAGCTCTTTTGAGTCTATTTTCTTTCTGTTGCGATGTAAGAACATCCACTTTTTGGAATTTCAATGGCTTTACCCCTAGCTCATTTTTCAATATTTGCCGAATGAAATGTCGCGATATGTTCAGCTCACGAGCCATTTTTCGGCACTGCGACGACGGTTTTGATCAAGTCACTTCTTTACTTTTCGAACGATTTTTGCTGATGTAGCTGTTTTCTTCCGTCCATTTTCTTGACGTCGGGCTACTCTATCAGTATCACGGTAATGAGCGATGGTACGAGACACAGAAGATTTACTCACATTTAAATGCTGGAATGCTCTAACGATAGCCACATGTGGTTCTCCAGCCAAATATAAACAAATCACACTATCAAGCTTGAATTTCATTACGAATAACATTTTCTGGAAAATTCTCACCAAAAGGTGTGGTACACTTGTAAACAATATAATGAGCTGCCACTGGAATAATTTCAGCAGATGTCGGACGAGTGGCTTAGAAATGACAGCAGTCTGAAGTTGGTTGCAGTTTTTTCATCTCACCCTGTATTTATAAAATTTTGGCTGTGTGTTGAGAATACTTCCGAAAAAGGTATATTTCTAAAAAAGTTGCCAAGTTAGTGGCGCCAACTAATTACAATGTACAATGGAACTTCGATAATAAATTGATGAAAATAGCATATAACATATATTTCAAATCATTTTAAATACAAATTTAAAATTTAGTGTACTCACCGTTGTTGTTGCTGGTGTAGTTGTTGTATGCGGCGTATAGGCGGCATATGTTGGCTGTGGCAATGGTGCTGTATAGCGATAGGCAGCCTGTTGAGCAACGGCGGCAGCAGCCGCTGCTGCAGCTGCGGCCGGTGTATAGCCTTGGGGTGTCCAAGTAGCACCGCGATATTGAGCCCCAGCTAAACCACCTGCCGCAGCGGCGGCAGCAGCAGCAGCTGTTGCTGGACTAGTCATGGCTGGCGGACGATGAACCCCTTTTATGGTGACCGTAGGAGCTGGGGGCGGAGCTCCCGGATATACGTTACGCGGTGGTGGAGGCGGTACAGCGGCGGCAACTGGGGTGGCGGCCGGTGTAGAAGAACTTCCCTGGAAAGAAAAAAAAAAACAACTATTTGTTTTAAAAATAAATAACAAATTTTATATTTTGAAAATTTTAAGATAACAAAATTCCTTATGGCCTTGCTGGCCATTTTGCCCATGCTAATATTTATGTTATAATTTTTGACCTACTGTTATTGACTATCAATGGTCTTTTGTGAATATTTCTCGGTGTTTTTCTTTTTGCGCTCGCTCGGTATTTTGGCAACTATCCCACCCTGTTATCAGTTGCCATGTAATTTGGAAAAAAATTCTCAATACCACTGGTGACTGAAATTGAATACAATCGCCCACTTATCGAATATGGTTACAGCAACCACAAGTATACTTTGTATGTACGATATGTTTATGTGTGCTTGTGTGTGTGTGAATGCATCTAAACATTTTTGTTCATACAATTTCCTGTTGCAACATTTGCCATTTATATGTTGCATCCTGTGGAGAAATGAGCTGATGCATTTGGCCGTATAAAAGGGTGCACAAAATCGTTTTGGAAATTTTAAAGCGGGAACATAAAACATATAGGAAAATAAATGGTGTATTCCCGTAAAACCATGGCAATTCATTTACTTATGTGTACTCAGAAAATATACACACATACCCTGCATACTCAACAAAATTTATGAAAATGTTCCTAACCGTTCAAAGGCTTGAACAGAAAAGAGCGCTTCTGACTGTGTGGCGTATTGATCTCCGTAGTGGCCCAATATCAACCATTTCGTATCTGACCTAAGTCTGATGGGATGGGCAAAACTAAAAGAAAATTGATAATTTATGGATAGGTACAATACATCAGATCTCTGATTGAGAGAAATATTTACAAAACCATGTTTTGAGGTACTAGAAAGATTCACATCAGATCTTAGGTTAGCACAAATATTGGTATGATGGAAATTTGAAGAGAATCGAATACTTATTTTATATTCAAACTTATACTTATTTTATTCAAAAAGTGGCGTGTGGCGTATGGATCTCCGAAGTATATCTCTGGCGATATATCCACATTACTTGTTATAATGCCCCTCATTTGCAAAGATTTAAAAATTCTTACGACCAAAACGAAATAACAGTCTTAGACCGTATGTCCTTTTGGACCAAATTAGTTTCCGGACATTTGGAGTCGATCTAGGGGTATCCGTCCGTCCGTCCGTCTGTCTGGTGCGCTCGATAACTGTCGAAGGGAGTATTCGATTTGATTTAAACTTAGTGTATCGTAATATTATTTTCAAACAAAGATCGAGTTTGGAGGTGGGCAATATCGATCCACTCCTTCTGGCACCTGCTCCTCAAAAGGTCAAAAATTTCATAGAAAATAAGTTTGCGTATAAAACAAGGAGGGATCATCAACTTTTGTCAAAACTTTGCAAATCCCAATATTTGTATCAGTGGTGCGAAAATGGACAATATTAGCCCACTCCATCATGTAACTCCCCCACAAGGGACAAAATGCTGAATAATTATAACTCGTATATAGGGCGACAACTTCGTCAGCGAAAAGTCCATCTTTAAATTTTTTGGGATTTTAGTAGAACATTTTCAACATTTTCATGTGTAAATGCTAGAAACCAACAGTGACGTCTATATCAAATTTTAGAATTTTAGTTCTATTCCTTAATCTATTCCGGGCATTTGCTGGGGGGTATACGAGTATCTGTCGGGAAAACCGTCTAATACTTTATAACTTGGTTTTGCCATTTTATACCCTCAGTTATATAGCTATAGAGGGTAAATATCATTTGAAACGGCCAAAACGTGCCTCATCGAAATAACGTTTTAGACCCTAGGCCTCTTTGAACCAAATCCATTTCAGGACATTTGGTGTCGCTCTAGCGATGTCCGTCCGTCCGTTCGTCTGTCCGGCTGGTGCGCACGATAACAAACTTGGTACATCGTAAAATTAATATCAAACTTTGATGGAGTTCGGAGATGGGCAATATCGACCACTCCTTCTGGTAGCTTCCCCACAAAAGATCAACATTTTAAAAAAACATTTAACTGCACAGAAAGAGAAAGGATAATTCGATCTTGCTTCAACTTTGCAAATCCTAATATTTTCATCAGTGCTAGGTTGTGTGATGGACAATATCGGTCAACTCCATCAGAATTTTGAAAAAAAAATTAACTTTAAGAAAAAATTGATTTAAAGGTCCGATTGTCTTCAAATTACACACATCACAATATTTTTTTGACCAAAGGTCTGGTGTAAAGATAGGATATATGGGCCCACTCCTCCTGGTATCTGCCCCACAAAGGATCAACATTTTGAATGAAGCTGATAAAACGCGAAATGAACATTCGATTCCATTCAGACTTGGCATATCTCAATATTTCTATCAACACAAGATCTGTTATAAAGATGGTAGAGATCGGATCATTCCTTCTGGTACCTTCCCTACAAAGGGTCAAAATTTTGAATAACCAAAACGATTATAAAATCCGAAATAAGCATCCGGTTCTCTTCATATTTCATACATCCCATTATTTCTACTAACACAAGATCTGCCGTTAAGATGGGATGTATCGGTCCACTCCTTCTGGTATCTCCCACACGAAGAGTCAACATTTTCAATATCCATGAAGCTCATACAACGCGATTCTATTTCAGACTTGTACATCTCAACACAAGATCTGTTATAAAGATGCTAGAGACAAAGTATTCAAGATTTTGAACAATAAAAAGCTCAATGAAAGCAAAATTACAGCCTTACGAAAAATTTTGCTATGACAAGATCTGTTGTGAATATGATATATATTTGCGAACCCCTTCAATACTTTTAACTTTCGCAACTGGCGAAACAAGTCAGCGATTCCTTTGGAACCTACTGCATAGCAGGGTCAACAATTTGAATAATCATAACAGGAGTCAAAATGTGTTTAAATAATCCGACATTGACCGAGAATATACATCTGTCGACAACACCGGCTGATACTTTTTAACAAGTTTTGGTCTTTTTTAATACCCCGTTTATAAATGGTAGTGACTACTCCAGCATGTCTTTTTCATTCTTGTTACCAATTGTTGTTATATTTAGCGGTTGGTCGGACGTCTGGCATGGCTCTGGCTATGACAACCTGCTGTATCATAAAGCTGTTGCACAATCTGCCATATGGATACAAATACATATGCCTGCACCTCTATGTGTGTATAGGTGTGTGTGTGCGCGTGTGTTTGTATTAGAGCACCGGCACACATCATCATTTTGGCAACAACAAATGCAACTCTGTGCAACCACATCCGTTTTGAAAAGATATACATTTTTGTGGGGCTTACGACTATCATTTGCCGGTGAGTTCGGCCCGCAAATGATGACAATAAAAAATGGTCATAACAACAGCAACAACAACATCGATAGCAGCCGTGGCAATTGTAGCCACATCAACGGTCAAACTATATTCGCTGTTCATTTAGTTTCACAACCATAACAACAAATGGTTGTAGAACAACAATAACAGCAGTAGCAGCAGCAACAACAACAACAACGAGAACAGAAATAAAATTGAGAAAATATCAGTTATTGTCGACTTTATTTCCTGTCGCTGGTTGTTCAGGGTATTGAATTTATTGAATGTGTATCTCGGTGTGTGTGTGTGTGTTTCGTGTTTTTCTGCCCTTCGGAATTTCGTTCCATCTCCCAGCAATCAGCTGTAAAAACATACTGTCTAAATAGAGTATCATTGCCAATGTAAACAATTTTTTGGGTAATTTTGTCACGGCATAAAATTCACTTGTCCTCGTTAGGTGAATGCTTTTGCTCTAGTTTTTGTTTTTTGTTAGATAGTTATTGTTTATGTATGAGTGTGTGTGTGTAGTTGTGGGGGGTTTGCGGCTACAGGGATGCCATGGTTTTTTTCGAATTGCTGAAACTGAAACAATATTGTTTCCTGTTTTTTGAGGTTTAATATTTCTATAGATAGGAAATTAAAAAAATAAAGAAAAAAAAAAAAACTTCAAATAATAAAATGATATTTTATTGAAATCTTTTTATTAACAATAAATAGAAAAATTGTATAATATACTGAACCTTATAGCAATGTGTTATTAAATTACAGGGCTGGTAGTTGGTAGTTAGATTATGAACAAGTAAAATTAGGAGAACTTGAGAAGAACTTAAATTGCATAAAAATGTGTCTAAGAGTTTTTAAAACACCCAAAATAGGAATGGGTCAATAGTGTCTACTTTGGATCTTACCAAAGTCCAAAATAAATATAGCAATGTGCCAGATTTGGACTATATCGACTACTTCCTTCACTTTGTATGAGATATGCGATCATTTATGGAAAATTTCCTAAATGGTAAATTTTTAGAGAATTTTGTTTGAAAAGCTTATATTTTGTCGTATGAGCCAATACGACTACAAAATGATTTCGAGATCCATTTTTGGCTGCGTCGATGTCAGAGTCAATATGGTCCAAACTTTACAGATCTTATTTGAGGCCCCCGAATGTCAAATCAGACGAGACACAAGTCGTAGCTGTATCAGAACTGATGTTCACCAAATTTCGTTAACTTATGTCTAGGCTGAATTCGGTTCAGATATTAGACATTTGGTTTACAAAAAACGTGAAATCGGGCGAATATTTGGACCGATTATTACCGCTTTAAAAAATTTGAAACGAACGAATGATCAAAGAAGATTCTTTAAGACAATAGCCTAATCTTTCTGGTATATTTTGTACAAAGGGTCAACAATTTTATAGGTATATCCACAGGTGAGATAAAAAAACTGCAACAGAGTCAAACGCCATAATTTTTACATTCTTTTTTAAATTTTATTGAATGAAACCAAAAAATGTCGGAAATAGCATCAATTTTAGAATAAGTTTAGATTTGTTCGCATTGCTAACCTTTGGCAAGAATTATGGCCTTCAAACGGCCAATGAAACCGTCACACGCTGCCCGAATGTTGCACTGCGGTATTTTGGTCCATTCCCGGCGAAGTGCTTGCTTGAGGTGATCAACACTTTGGTATAACTTAGTGCCAAACTT